TAATTAAAACCCACAACCATCCAAAGAATGATCAACAATGACTAAAAAGTTTCAATCATACAAAAGTTAAGCCTATATCCTAATCAATTGAAATAAGAAATTCAACAAACATCCAGTTTATTCCAGATCGTGCAATTAGGCAATTTCTATTACCTTCGTAATATCTCGCACATTTTTTTATCAATAATACAAGTGTGTAATCTACATACATTAATAAATATATATATCGTACAATTTCTTATCAATAACATAAGCGCCCATAATCTATACATAATAATAAAAGTAATAAAAACACAAACAAAACATTTAACGGAAAATCATTGTGTAACAATATTAACAACCAAATCATGCAGTAAATCATCCCAGCATAGAAGCCCTTCGTGGCCGACGAATTTCGCCCTAAACCTAACCTAACCGTAGATGTGTATCTACGGCGAAGGCTATGTAACATCGAAACTTCCGCAACGAGATGCAACGCGAACTCGAGGATTCGAGCCTCGTATACACGCAAATTCTCAGATACAATGAAATATGTTACCTGAATATGCGAAACTGTCATTAAAGGTTAAGACCGCCGCAGCTCATAATCCCGAACGGCACGACAGATGCGGCTTCAGGCGTGCCGGTAACGAATACGGTGTATTTCAAGGAGTCTTGATTGACGGCCGCAAGCTTGCGAAATTGTTGCACAAGTTACGCTTCAACTCCACGCGCCTCTATCCTGCCATGTATGTTATTTTTCTCCTCGTCGACAATCCCGATTTTTTAGAGACCCTTTAGCCTCGATTAAAGCCGGATCTCCATCAATTTCCATGCAATTGGCTACCAAGGCTGCGTTCCAAAACGTAACCACAGTTACCAAAACTCTATAGTTTACGTGACGTCAACTGTAGAGTTTTAATTACTGTAGTTAGATTTTGGAACGCACCCCAGAGAGAGAAGCTTGAGAGAGAGGACATGAGAGCCTTTTTCTAGAGCACTATATGTGTATTCGCATCCACCATTCTTCTACTTTTCTTTCATTTCTTAATTTCAATATTAATTACATTTAGAAAACTTACGTATTATTTAAGATATAAGATCTCATAGAGTCATCTATTTTATCAACTAAATACAATAATTTTTATGTCGCAATTTTTTTTGTAAATCTGAAAATCCTTTTTTAGAATTAAAGTTTACACACTAATGCGTATCTTTGAGTTGGAATTTATACACTGTGTTTATATCGAGAACGGAAAAAACTTTTTGAAATTAAAATCTTTACCATTTATGGTTGAATCTTAAGACTTTACTTAAAAAGACAATCTTAAAATAAGAAATTACTATGAATATCAGCCTCCTTAATATCAATATCCTTAAAATTAGATTTAGCCATTAATATAAAAATGCGTTACGAAAATTTATGCACATAGTGCGATATTGGTATGTAGTGATATATCAATGACAAAATAGTCCTATTTTAAGTCAATAAAACAGACAACCATAGGATCCCTATAATGAGTTTGTCATAATTGTAATCAAGTACAGAAATAATTGAGACGCTAGTGATATATGTATTAAAATAAAAATTATATAATAAAATTTTGCATATTTTTGAACAATATGTTAATAATCTCTATGTCTTAATTTAATTACAAGAGTATTTTACATATATTATAATTTGTTCTAAACATTCTCTCTCTTTAACACATATAAACCTATATAAAATGTTAAGACACATAAACTCTTTGAATAGAAAAAATAGTTTTTGTTTAATAATTTTTGTGACTTTATCGACATCGCCTGTACAATTGCCAAGAGAGCAATAATTTCTTCGTATAGCTCTTAAGGACGTATGTAGTTTCACTATAGCTAGCGTTTAAAATTTCTCCATTATCTTGCTTCTGGTTTTGAAAATGGCTGAAGCGAACCAGGTTGTACCCACGACAAACCTAGTGGTTTGTTTTCTTCTTCGTCCTGCAAAGTGTGATAAATTGGTTAAATGTGTAAACTTAATGTGTTTTATCGTAATGAAAGTGATATACTCAAATACTTATTTACTTTTGGTTCGTAAATCTCTTGTTTAATGGGGTCGTGTACTTCTTTCACATATGGATTAAAGGTAATATAATGTGGATCATCCATGGTAGGTGAATTAAACACTTGATTTACGCTTTCCTTTACGCAAGCTTTCACACGTTCTCGAAAAGCTTCAAAATTATTTTCATGCCTACAATATCGCCGATTAATTCACACATGTAGATATTCTGGATGATACATTATTTTCATGTTTCCTTTAAGGACAAATATACTTACAAGCTAGACGCCTCCTCATTTACTGAAGTCATTTTCGCGTCTAGTTTAGTGAATATCTTAGTGATATACTGTAATAATTGCCAAATTCTGTTATTCCTTCTCCATTCAGGAAAGCCCCATGACGTGCATAATTCTCCACTTTCTGGATTTATTAATGGATGGAATATTTGAGTTTCAAACACAACTTTCTAAAACATATTTGAGTGAAAAAACTATACGTAAGGTTAATTATCTGCGAGTCAGTATTCTTACAGGGCAATCTCCAAGTGGAAAGTTAGGAGGCAGTGTAATGGTGAATCTAAAAACTCCGCCTTTGTAGATTCCTTGCCGAATGAACTGTACACCAAACCACACTGCGACAAAATGTGAAGATGAAGTATTAGAACTTTTTACAATCGCTAGTTTAACTACATTAAAGTGAAATAGGCAAAAGATATAGTATAGATATATATTTACATCAGAACCATTATACAAGTTGTAATCGGGAAGAGCAAGACCTATAAAATAGGTTTACACCTATCAAAAACATACTAACATTTCAATAGAAAGAAACGTAGTATGCAAACAAGAAAAGGAAAAAGAAAGGGTATTTGTTCCTTATTGACATGCAAGTTATAGAATGGTATAATACTAATTCCTGTTTCGAAACTTTAATATCAGGTTAAAAGTTATCACAGAAAATTGCATGCCAAATTTTGAATATATTAAATACAACTCATATAGTCTTTAGCAATACTTACATAAAGCGTTCAAAGCAGATGGTATCACATAAATCCCCTTCAAATCTTGAGAACACAACATCTTGCTGGAAAATATCATAAAAAGTCAGCTATCTTTTCATACACATTTGATAACATTACTAAACTTACTACTCAGAAAAAATATTGTATTCCTGTGAGAAAATAGCGTGTTGCTTGTTGATTTGCCACACAATTGGTCTATCAATCATTTTCGCAGACATGCTCAATGGAGAATCTCCATGATTGCTTCCTGGTACAAGCTTCCTGAATGAGCCTTGCCTATTTAGATTATCATCCTTACTGTCTTCGCTCTGAAATAAAAAAACAGAATATTATTAACAATTATTACGAAAATAATAACTAAAATATCATCACACTATTAAATGTTAAAATATATTCATTACGAGTAAAACAAGATAAGTGTATGTAACTCTCCATTTTTATTGCTTCCAATTGAAAGCTTTTATATATATATATATATTCTTTATATTATTATTAAAAGAATAATCAGCAGAGAGAATAACATCATTATAGTTATATATATATATATATATATATATATAATAATGCATATATATATATAATTATACATTATTATTTATATTATTATGCAAATTTACGAACTTGGAACGAAATACTATCTTTTGATATATGTTAAAAGGATTACCTTGGTCGACATGATGAATGAACATGAGGAAACAAGTGGAAATGATTTAATAACTCGCTACATTACAATTGCGAAGTGCGAGATCATGCGAGATGAGGTATTCTCGTCAGTAACAATCGATAATCTGATAGAGTGGCGTCAATCATGAATCGATGAATCATATGACATGAAAGCTCTGATTTCTAATCAGCTCCGATTTCTGATCAGCTCCAATTGGCTTCGACGCCGACGAGACATTATTAAGAGGGCCGCCCCTGGGTAAATTTTCGTGACTATCAAGTGGATCCGAGGATAAGTGAAGACGATGATATTACCAACCATTTTAATGTTATCATCCGAGTTTCATTATCAATAGAGATGATAATTGTATAGAGAAAATTTTAATTTTTCGACGATAAGTATATGAAAAAATGTCGGGCACTCTATCGGTGCCGGGACTTACGTTGATAGTTTATTTGATGCGTTTTTGCACGAAATGAACGAATTTGGCAAATAAAGTATCGTTCTGCCCCGTAATGAACAGAGATATTAATCGTTAACAAACTTTATGTGGGTGCAAAAAATGGATGTCGATAAAAGAAATCTTATACTAAATCTTACTTTAACTGGAATTCGAAGAACTATGATTCTATATGGTAAAATTAATGAAACTGTGGTAAAATTAAAGATTTTATGTTAGAATTGAACATAATTATAATAAATTTAAGTCTTTTATTAACTGGAAACTCTTAAATTGTAACTTAATTTATGGTGAAACTTTGTTTAATTAAATTTTGTGGTGGAAATTGAGGATTTTTATGGTTAAAAATTCCGTGAATTTAGAGTTACAGTAAAAATAAAAAATTTTATTAATTATATTAATACAAAAAAATAAAAATTTTTAAAGATATAAGTTATAGCTATAACTATCTCCTTGTAAAGTTGTTAATACGGACTCTTAGTACCTATAATCTTAAACTTAAATTTAATTTTATTGTACAATTTGATGAACTAAAATAAATTTTCACAAATATCGAATAACTTCAAACATCAATTGTACAAGATCATCCTCTAAACAAAACAACCTATTTTGGTTACAACGAAAAATCATCACTATTTAATTTTTATAATATGGCGAACATATAACTTTCCAAACTATACGAATTTATGATTACACAAAGTTTATTTTGCATTTCAAATTTATAAAATAAAATATTGAAAACTTTAACTCACACTTAATAAAAAATCTTAAAAAAAAAAACTTAATGTACCAAATCACACTTGATGTCTTCTATCACATTTTTCAGCTTTCTTACGATTCAATATTCTTGGGAACTATTCTCCATAACTTGGTCGACATTCTGCTGCTTCTCTATGCCTTCTTCAGAAGGTGTCGTCGTCGTCGCCTGATTATTGTTCATAATTTGTGAATTCTGTGACTCATCCACTGCAGATTCTGCTGGCTGGCTCCCCGATAGTTGATTTCCAGTCTCTGGTTCTTCTGGTCGACGATGCAGACAATGTGGTAATGCGGTCGACGTCAGAATCGAAGCCGGTATTCTCGTCACTTGGACGGCGAGTTTTTCAATGCTCGACTCTTGGTGTAGATTTTTGGGAATGAAATTAATATCTTTAATGGAAATGATTTTTGATTTATTGCTTGTTTGTTGATTTGTGGATGTTGTGGTCTGTTCTTCTATTGGTTTGAATTTGCCATCATTTCCTCGCGTTTGACTTGCTGTTGCGTTTTTCAGTACTTCGCTCGAAATTTTGTTCTTCTTTTTCTTCTTTTCGTTCGATGTTTGCACTTCCTCCATAAAGTTGGATTCGGAAGATATTTTCCTTTTCTTTCCGGACAATTCTTTTTTATTCTCGTCTGCCATTCCGGGCGTGGACGATTTAATTTTAACTACTGATAATTGTTCCACTTGCTGGGTGCTGTCATTTGCATGCATCATAGCAACATGTCTTGTTAAACGATCCTCCATTAAGTCGTACTTTGTTTGAAATACTTGTGGTCCACGATAACTTTCTGGTCTTAAATCTTTGATTTTTATATGATTTGCATCACATCCTGCTTGATCCTTGATAACGAAATTGTCCTCATACTCAGTACTTTCATTTTTTAACTGATTGTACCTGTTAATTGTCCTGGTAATCTCCAATTGTCGTCTTGTCTGTTTATCGACTGCTTTATATCCAACGTTTTCCTTTTGCAGTTGTTGTATAATTTCGCGCATGTGTTTTATGCGTTTTATCCGCAGTAAAATTTCCTCTTTAATTCTTAATTCGTTCTTAAGTTTTTGCAGTAGTGTTTTTTCGTCTTTTTCCAGCTGTCGTCCGATGTCACTCGAACATGTTTCTGACGAAGCCTCCATCGTCCTTCGTACATTATTTACCTTGATTTTATTCTTTTCTTCTGAAGTTGGAATGGATTTGGGTTGTCGTCTAGCCATCTTTCGTGTTGCGGCTAGTGATTTTGTAACACGTTTGCGTATCGACGCCTTTTTCACTAATTGATTAGCCCTACTTAACGCTAATTTTTGCTTACGCTTCAGTTTACGAATTACATTAATTTGGAACTTTTTGTCTGTCCACAAAGGAAAATTCGTTAAACAAAGGTATTTTAAAGTTCTATTGTTTATTTTTATGAGTCTTCTGACTACCTTGCCGTACCTTTGTGATTGAACTACCACAACTTTACAATTATTTACTTTATTCTTATTGCCTATTCGTTTTGTGGTACATGTATTCTTTTGTGATACGTTATGTCTAATATCGTCTATCTCGTTTTCTATAGTAGGATTTATGGCAGTTCTATCCAACTTAGTTGTATCTGAATTAAATTGACGCGGAACTTCGTTCCCGCTATTATTGTGATTAACTAACTTATTTATGGGCGCAAGAGTTTTATTAATAATTTCAAGATCGTTATTGTTGTTACTTTTACTCGATAACTCTACCGAATTTGGATAAATCGTTTTTAAATTTTCGATCTGTTTCGGCTTTGATTTTTGTACATTAATCCAATTTTCTATTTCTTTCGTAAGTGGTGATTGTACTTGTTCCTCCTCTTGAGTATCTTTAGATTGGTGTTCTGGAGAAGCTAAGTCTTTCTCAATTTTATCACTTTTGTCGTTCTCAGAGTGTTCTTTGCGGACAGTCTCCTGCAGTTCTTCTTTAATTTCCAAGGATGGGCAGTAACTGGTTCATAAATTAAAAGTTACATAGAAGTTAAAAAGTTAAGAACACACTTTTAACTTAATTTAGTTAATTTCAAATAATTAATTTTTATAACTTAATCTAATTTTAAACTTTAACTGATTAACTTTTCTTTTTAAATTGAAATAAAAAAATTTTTTTAAATAAAATCTGAAACAGAACTAGAAGCCTTCACAGAAAGCTCAATGATTGAATGCATTCAGTACTATAATCATTCACACTGTGTATCTGTTCGGTTTATATTTTTAAATCTAATGGACTATGGCACACAACTCATGAAGCCTGTTCTTTTTAGCTGAACTTCTTGCATGGTTCAGCACTTCTCTTTTTCTCCCCAACGTGGAGAGAAAAGGAAGAAAGACGAACCATGCAAGAACTTTAGCTAAAAAGAACAAACTTGCGGTTAACTCTTAAAAGAAGTTCAACTTATTCATTATCTCTTTCCAATTCTAGAATTGGAAAGAGATGAGAAATAAGTTGAACCTCAGTTAAGAAATAACCATGAGTTGTGAAACTGGGCCTATGTCAATCAGATACGAGATAAATGTGGGAAATCGACGAACTTAGGTACTATATTTATTGCATCATTCTATCCTTGTTAAATGTAAATTTACCGACAAAATACCATTTGAAAATTCCTAAAAAATAAATTTTTTATTGTACAAGAAAAAATACATTGCTGTGAAAAACTATTTCTTTGTTATATAAAATTTACAAATAAAATATTAAATTTATTTTATGATCCATATTGTAATTGTTTTTTTATTTAAAATAATCTGATTTTTTTTTAAATTAGAATTTTCTGATTGAATAAAAATGTTTTAAAATTAATTTTTTGTTTAACTTGAGTTAATTAAATCTTAACATAATTTTAACCCTAAGTTAATTTTTTTTCCATTTAATTTTAACGTATTTAAATTTAACGTATTTAACTTTAACGTATTTTTAATTTTGTGAGCCATTATTAATTTCAACTTAATTTAATTTGAAAAAACATGAACTTACAGAACCTTGTTAATTCCACGATTTGTGGTGAGAATTGGGGATATTCTTTCGACCACGTCAACTTCTCGTTCTTCTGGACTTGCATATTTATTGTTGTCCATAGTTTGTTTTGGTGTTTCTTCTTGGCTACTTACGCTAATGATATCAACATCTTCCTCAGTTAAATCCATAATTAATCGTTTGGTTTGATGTTTTTCTCCATATATTTCCATTGATTTCTTTATCAAGTAGGATGAGTTGGTCTTACCTGGCTGTCGAATCATGTTAAAACTTTTTTTATTATCTGTTTCAATATTGTTAGACAAGCCGTTATTTAGCACTCAAGTATAGTATCATTACAGTAATTGAATTTATACAAGTCTTGTAGAAACTCTGTTTTGATATTTTTATGAAAATTATATACAATTTTTTGAAAAAAAAACACAAAAATTGTAAAACAAATAAAATAATTAATTTTTTATTTTAGCTTATGCTTTCTTAAACTTTTTGTTGCAAAATCTCACTAAAATTGTAAGTATTTATATTTATACTTAGAAATGACTACGTTTATACAGCTCAATTTATGCCGAAGTTGTAACATGTTATGAAACTCACCAATCATAGCAATTCCTCTGAAGAATGAAATGATTGTGATTGGCCAGTTTCAAAAACTGGCTCGGTGTTATAATTTAGGTGTGTAATCGATGTTATTATAACTTAGGTGTAAGTCGAGCTGTATAAACGTAGTCTATTATAATGTTACTGAATTTTCATAGGATTATAGTACAAATGTGCGAAAAAGAAGCTTGTCTAACAACACTAGTTGTGTTCTAAAGGTGCGTTCCGTTTCACGCGAGGTGCGTATGATATATCATTTTATCCTTGTTGTTCACCGAATATTAAAGAAAGATAAAAAATAATACATCATGCGTGAAATGGATGCATCCTAAATTTACTGTTGAAAATGCTACAGTTACGTCCACTATCCAGATAACATTTATGTTGCATAAGATATCTTAAAGTCGTACGTCTTTTAAATATCTTATGCAACATAAGTTTAGATGTTTAAAAGATATCTAAAAGACGTCTTGTAGATATTTTATGCAACATGCATGTTATTTGAGTATAGAGATTAGTACAACAGTCAATTTTGAAACATAGCTATTGATTTGTTTGTGTTGTGATCGAATTCAGTTCACAATGGATGCTTTTCGTTTGATGACACAAGTCGACTCAAGTGTCGTTCTATCTTTGTTACTCTGAATGTCAAGGATACAACGATGCTTGTGTCACCAAATGAAAAGCACTCAATATTTATCAACTTTTGTTTATTACAGTTTACAGTATTTAGCAATTTTCCAAATTTATTGCTTTTTTATAAGAGCAAAAAAATAAGTTCAGGCTGGCAAAGCAGCTATGCTTGTGAAGCTTGATTAGTTCTTACCTGTGGATGCAACCAATCATTTGTTTAATTACTCGGCAAACTAGCCGCTTTGCCCATGGTGGAGATATATAAAGTGAAGTACTACTCCCGTAGATGCGCAGTAGGAAAGTGCATATTCGGACATATTTGAGATTGGCTATTCCAGTATAACCTGCGCTATTATACGTAGGAAAGTGCATATTGGGACATATTTGATTGGCTATTTTCAGTATCGCTACCGCCATTATGAGTAATGTTTCACCTTATATATTTCCACCATGGCTTTGCCGACTTGAATGGACTTGAACTCGCCCAATGATTGGCTACTACGCTAATTCCCACCACGCAGTAAAGCGGCAAATTTTTCTGCGTTCTGTGTACATAGTTTTGATAAATACTGTGAACAAAATTTCCATCTCGCGTAATACATAATTATATACATTTCCGATCTCGGAAATCTTCTAAAATATCAAACGTCGTTACAATCGCTTCGGATGTCGTTTCTCCCCAGGTAGCAAGCTATGTCATTTTGACGTCGTTTTGACGTCAAATGACGTCTTTTTGACGTCAAATGACGTCATTTTGACGTCAGTTTGCTACCAGGGTCGTAATTGCTCGAACATTGAATATACTTAGTGTTTCTCGCGGCTCACGAAATTACATCGTTTTTCGGCGATCCAGATATCTCGGTATATTCCCGACGTATTATCACGGCACTCGCATTCACGTTGTATTTATTTGCGCTTCACATACTTACTTTTCGATAAAAACAAGGATTACACTAACCCATTTTTAACTTTTCGCAACGACCTTCTCGCTATGGTTGGAAAAGACAAAGTGGCAAAATACTAAACGTGATTAACGTGAATACTGTGAAAACACTACTCGCTACCGTCGTGAGTGCTCTGTCTTGCTACAGTGTCCATCTCCGTTTAATGAATTGGAAGTACTTTCTTTTTCGTTCCCTATTGGTCGGAACGTATATTCTTACGCATGCCGGTGCTAACTTGCTTCACGATCGTTCGACATATACACGCTGGCTCTCTTTATGGTATTCTCTCTCACCACCGATGAGATTAGATCGATCAGATGAGATCTGTGCATCGTGTGCCGCCGCGCCGAAGACGGCTGGTGTTACGGAGTTTCGCGTGACTGTTAAAATTTGAATGACAACAGCAAAGGCCCAGTTCCACAACTCACACACACACACACACAGTTGAGTCTTAACTGAGCTTCAATTTATTCATTGTCTCTTTCCAGTTCTAGAATTGGAAAGAGATGAGAATTGAACCTCGGTTAAAAGTTAAGGAGGTGTACGGCAAATGCAATGTGTTAAGAATTATTAAGAATTACTTGAAAAAATTACAGACTATTCTAAATTACATTTAATAATTATACAAAAAAAAATAGAGACAGTTAACCATCAAAAGTTATTTAAATAAGTAGTATTTTTTTAATTTGTACTCTCTCTCTCTCTCTCTCTCTCTCTCTCTCTCTAATATAAATATATATGAAAATGTATTATAAAATAATGATAAAAATCTCTATTTTTTAATATAAATACTTTATGAATTCAATAATATTTATGTAAAGTTACCTTGAGGTGCAGACATTAATTGTTTAGTATATAAATAAAATTTGTTATTTGTTATAAACTATAATGATGAATCTCAATGAAACTTTGCATAAGTCATGTTTAGTACTTAATATATTTATATAAAAACATTTAAATTTTTCTTATTGTTTTAACAATTTTTGTTTATAACAATAAAATTAATAACCAATAAAATAAATAATCTATAAAAATGTGTTGCTCGATAAAACCATAACCCCGGATCTACAATAGGGTTTTAAGCCTTAAGCCATAAGAAATGGGCGAATCACAGTCGCTTATTCTTCTCGGATTCGACTGTAATTGGTCAGTTTCTTACGGCATAAGGCATAAAACACCTATTGTAGATCCGGACTAATGTCATGAACACAACTTTCACATGTATATGTAGTTTGTTTAAAGCGTAAATATTAATATGTTTTATGTGCCTTTACAACCTCCTTAACCGTTAGTTGTGGAACTGGACCTAAAGCCTATTCTACAATTAGGTAAGCGTAGTTGTAAGAATTGACCAATCACAGTTGAATATTCTTCTCATATTCAACAGTGATTGATCAATTCTTAAGGCCCGTCTACAATACACGGAGTAAGAAGTAAGAGTAAGAAATTGACCAATCACAATCGATTATTCTTCTCACATTCGACTGTGATTGGTCAATTTCTTACTCTTACTTCTTACTCCGTGTATTGTAGACGGGCCTTCATATCGCGTGTAAAAAGAATCTGCGTAGAACGTATTGGATAGGCAACAATAGGTAAGGGAGTATTATATAAACAAGTGCTGTGCTCTGCTGAATTGGGATTATGATTGATTAGGATCAGCTATAAACTGATGTCGTCTAGCACTGCTGATAGCCATGAACTGAGGGCACTGAGACTATCGGCAGCCGGAATGATAAGAGATAGTACGAAACACTTATATGGTGTGAATGTACGTATTCTTGTTAAAGTTAACTGCTGAATATTTCAGTTATACCAGTATTTCGCATGCAATCGAAGCATTCAAGGCTTTTGGACGTCGCAGTTTTGAAGAGGTACGGAAATAGAAGATGTCTAAGATCCTCCTTTAATCATGATATAAAGAAATCTTTACATTGAAGGTTAAATTAAATGTCTATACATACTTAATTTTTGATATGTAATTGGAAGAATCGATTGCGACCAATTGGTCTTGTTTTCATAGTTTATTTTTTTATATTCTTTATTCGTAGCGTTTTAAGATTTATTCACCTACAATCTAAAAGATTCGACGTTTCAATATCTCATGTTGAAGAAGCTAATTCGAATAATTCAATTTACAATTTTTTTCAGAATGGAAGATGTCTTTGTCAAATCAAATTTTTGACTGTATAAAAACAAATAATTTGACAAAAGATGAACTAAATCGAATAACTGACGATGTAAATAAAGCTTTAATTGACCCAAAAGGCAATGAACTTTTTGAAAACTATCTTTCTCAGTTCAAGTTTTTGGATGGTTTAGTAAGTTTGAGGTTGTACAACACCTGTTCAAAGATCCTGAATGAAAAGCAGAATAGATCGTGAGTCTATCACAATTTATACTAATATGAATCTTATATTAAGCATTTTTTATTACAAGATAATATAAGTGTTCATATATTTTTATAATACTCAAGGTTAACACTTAAGATAGATTGCTACATACATTTTTGAAAAAATATGTGTAGCTACTTATGTAACAATATTGATTGGGAAAAACAAACATATGTGTGTTTAAGTAAAAATAATATGTGATATACATATATATTATATATCTCAAAACATCCAAAGTTTATATTAACAATCAAGGAAATTTACAGGAGTCAAAGAAATTTATCGGAAGAATCATTGGAATCACTTATTACTAAAGTAAAAATGATAAAGGAGACTATCGAAGAAGAAGATGTAACTGCAATAGATTTTCGTGTTATGACAGACTTGAACAAAGCCTTGGAGACAGAAAACAAAGAAAAATTACTCGGCGTATTAGAAAGGATTAAAGAAGAATGTCAAAATAGTCTACGAGATTTGCACAAAAATTTTAGACGTTACATCTTGGAAAAATAACATTTGAAATATTTTTAAAATATTAACTTAAAATTTTCACATTTTTATATTTTCTTTTTTTTTGCATTTATGCATTACAAAGATCCGTGATGTTTGTATTTGTTCCTGCATAATTTATTTTTACACGTGCAGTTTACACTGTTCAATGTATTTATTTTTTTTTTATCCCAAAGTACTTAATATAATAACTCAGGTATTATAAAACTAAAGTTAAAATAAGAATATTTTTTTATTAGATATATATACTATCTAAAACTTTCAAAGTAAAATCTCATTCTTAAAAATTGAAAATTGAGTCATTTTTTCAAGACTGGCTTTTCATTTCTTATAGTGAGATTCTATTTCACAGGATAGATTAAGAATAATATGGTTCCTTATGTAAAAGCGATTGATTCGTAGTCAGATACTTTAATCTCGATTATTTTCTCATATATATGCTTCTAAATAAGAGACTGATTGCAGAGTGAGACAAATTAATCCGATAGGAAATAATAAATTGAAACATTTTTCTAAGTGTTAATACAGATCTAGTCATTGTAGCTAATCCAGTGTATACCTGATGTAGTTAAAATGAAATAGACATATATATTTGAATTTTGTCGAAAGCGAGATAAAAAGTTTTAGTGCAGTTTAGTAAGCAACAAAGAACAGGCATATGAATCAGTCGCTTCATATCGCTTTGTAATATTTATTTATTTATTTAATTGTTATGGCAACGAACACATACAGAGGCTTAATAAATCTTGTCAACTAGTTCTATACATCTCTGCGTTGTATCCTTTCTACTGTCAGTCAAATCACATCACAATTGATAAATGTTGAATATGAGATACGTGGATAAATCAGAGGAAAAATACATCGCGATGATTAATCGAATCCGCGATACTATCCGTAAATTAGAAGAAACTATGAAGTATTCACGGGATTTGGAAGCTGTTCGATTTCTGCGATATTCTATGTTGAAATCTCGCGATAAAATTCTGATGGACGACCTGAGGAAGATTAAAATACGAAATAAACAGATGTTAAGTGAGAGCAAAATTTCTATTTAACATCACATATTTAGCTCGTAATCTGGTCGGAAGATCGCTTTTTAGATTTATTTCGACAAAGTGTCACGGACGTTCAACTCGGTTCTCTCGACATACTGCCGGAAACTCTGAGGAGACAAGTGCAGAAAACATGGCACCAGAAGTAATTTCCTCTATCCATCATACCATTAATGATTTGCATGTTGGCACGTTAATTTCAGATATGACGCTTTGTTATCTCAAAACGAACAATTAAAGAGACAAATTATCGCTTTAGATTGCGCGATGAAACAGAAACAGAAAGAGGTATGTCTAACTATAGTTGTGTCATATTTATACCTTAACCATCGAGTGTAACAAAAGTATAATTTTCTTATTTAAAAGAGTAATATCCATTTCTACCAATATAGACTAACTTTAATCTTGATTTAATTTACTTTTTATCTTCTTCTAATTTTGAGAATTGGAAAAAATTAAGTAAATTAAATCGAGAGATTAATCTACACTGGTAGAAATGTATATTTTAGGATGAAATCTTTAATAGATTCAGTTAATTGATTTCTTGAAATTATATCATGTAATAAAAGTGTAATAATTTTCCTGTGTTGAATTAAGAGAGATATTCTAACTTTTATGTTTTCCAAACTCAAGTAATTTATATATATATTTTTTATGAACGTATGGACACTAGGTGTTCTTTTTTTACTTTTCTTTAAGAAGGTAAGTTTTATAATGATCACAATATCATGAAAATGAGATATACATGTATAATCTTTTTGCAATACATGTACACTACATATAGTTTAATATTAATTTATGCGTCAAATTAATTAAATTTTCCTCTTATTTGATTCAATTTAATACTGACAAATAGTGATTATTTATGACTTATTTTATGTATCAAAGCATCAACAAATATTGCCTTTCAGTATTAAATTGGTTCAAATTTCTGCAAGGATGTTGTATCAAATTATGTGTTTAATTTATAATTCGTAAATTATAAATCATATAATATGCGTTATATAATATTGTTATTGTATTTGCATTATCTGATTTCCATTGAAGTGGTCTGTATATTGTAGATCGATATTTTGCAACAAAGATTATTCATCGCAGGGAGTGTAAATTCTGGAAACACTGAAAAGATTTGCAGAAAGTGCTGGATTCTGACGAACAAAACTTAAAAATTATATATAAGACGCATAGATATTTAAAATAAAAAATTGTTTTTACAAACAATTTTCTTTTGAGTAAGGTATATGCCTATTTAGAAGAATCATTTCAAGCATTAAACGAACGCGGTTGAAATTGAAGAGAAATAATGCTTGGCAGAAACAATTCTCTTACGTTAGTAAGACAATTAAGGGATTTAGTTATAATTTGATTGCGAAAGTAGACAAAAGAGCTGTGGCTTCCCTATATGAGTAACACATTTGCCAGTCTCAGCGGTACATCATCCTGGGATCATTTCCAAAAACAAGTGAGATAGAAAGGACATTTTTTGTAAGTCAATTTCAAAATCAATTAATTAAATTGACGGGTCGATTTAAAATTAGTAATGTAATCTTATTGCATTTTGATGTCAAATAATGTCAGTTTGCTACCTGGATACGTTGCTAAAATTATTTTTGTAGCCATAATTTTATTCAGCTTAAGAAATTAAATTGGAGTTATTTTAGATTTCGATATTAGTGAAGCCAATAAAAAAGATTTACTAAAACTGGTATATTTAGAATTAGTTAATCAACAATTTTTTGAGGTTTCAGACGAGAGATGCAACCAGAAGGATCAAATTTGATTGTTTTGAGTAGAATTATGCGTCGGAAATTATGGGAATTGTTGGGAATTGCTTGCATCTTCTTATTCGCCCCATTTATCGCGATCACTTTAATCCTTCTATACATCTATCGTCATTTTATCGAAATTGTATTAAAAATCCAGTTAAGGAACAAGTTCGCTGGTCTCTTGAAAGGCACAGATTGTGTATGGGCCGTTGAAGACGCCGTTTCTCTATCCGTTATCAACATCTTGATGATACTGGAGAAGGTCGCGCGAAACTCAAACAAAATTTTCTTGGAGGATTTCAGGAATTTGATAAACGATCGCATTGTTTTAAAGGCTGCTGATACGACGATTGAGAAACTGTTCTATCTTCGAAGTCAGAGGTTCGGCTACTATTTTTGGGAAAGAAGCGAGAAAGTAGACCTGAAAGACAGAATCAGATGGCTAGAATGTATGAACGCTAATTGTGATGGGTCCTGCGAAGATATTTCTGGTGAATTATTCAGGAAGACTTTGGAAAATGTATGCAATAAACCGTTGCCCGATAATCACAGAGCCGCGTGGGAAATTCTCGTCGGAAAACGTTGTCCAAAGTCGAGATCTAATCTCGAAGAAGGCCGTTTATCTCCCGAAAAGTGCTTCGATACTGATACCCGGAAAATTCCCATGTTATTTCGCGTTCATCATTCTTTGGGCGATGGAGTAGCCCTTCTGGGCCTGTTACTCAAAACGATCACCGAGGAGACTGAGAGCAAAGAGACGAGAGTAAAAATTAAGAATATTGTCTCATCAGGCGAGACTGGAAAACGTTTCAAAGAAATCGTTCCAGCATTGCAAAATTCTGAGAGGAATTTTCAGAACGAGATAGATGTTGTGCGATTCTATGAGAAGAATATCCTTGCCGCGTCGATGCCTTATGTAACATTCTCACGATTAGTGCAAGATCTACGAAACCATTTTTATGCATCAATGAAATTTTCCAATAACGTAACGATCGTGTCATTGAAACAGCAAGCGAAAATATCGATCGATCGTACATGGCTGAATTTCAAAGACGTACTGAAACAAATGTATAGTACAATTAAAGATGTCACGCGGCTAACGATGATTTTACTTTCTTTTCCGAAATTTATCATTCAACAAGCTGTCCGTAGGATGGACAAAAAGTACATTCAGTATTTCTATTGTAGATTTAATGTTTAATCCATTCTATCAAAAATAGAATGAATAAGAAATTAATTTCTCTGAATATCTAATCTTTGAAAAATAACAAACATAAGGGCATAAAAAAACGTTTAAAATTTCTAATTTCGAAGATTAGACTTTCATGAGAAACAAATTCTGGCGATCGTGTAACGTTTTCTCTTTTATACAACAAAAGAGAGACTGGAGGAATTGCGAACACCTAGAAAAAATTAAATAAAAAGCCGACGATTATTTATCAATTAGAAGTCTTTATTCAAACGAGATATTCCGGTTATTTTGCTTCAAAAACTTACTTTATATATATATAATATAATATATATAATCCAAACTTACTATATATATATATAATATATATATTTTAAATATAGTTTAAAGATATTAAAACCAATATCTCTGAGAATAAAGTCTTCTATAAATTAATAAATAATCGTCGGTTTTATTTAACTTTTTCTTTAGATACATTTGCAATTCTTCCACTCTCCACTACTAACTTTTAATGAGTTATATTATAATTAAATGTAAATTTTTATAGCGCTCTGCATGGTCCACCTCAAACGGGTGAAAAAATAATGTCCTATTGGTTAGATAACGATGTGGTAAATGATAAATCGCAGAATCTTTTGACGAAAATTCGCGAGATAAGAAGAAATACAGGTGCCAAATTTGAAGATGTAGTATTGGCAGCTTTTTCTGCTAGTGTACACAAATATCATTTACGCGTATGTATATGTAAAGCTTTCAAGCGATAAATAAGTCTAGAGACATTCAGAAATACATTTAAATAATATCTAGAAAATCAGAAGAATAATTTTTGGATAATTATTTAATTATATTACATCAATCTATTTTAAAGTTGTTTAATATAAACCTGTATTTTCCTTGTAGCTCAAGAAACCAATTCCCGATGCATTAACAGTTATCTTACCGAAAAGAATGTCAATGCCTGATGAAAAATTAACGTTAGATAATAAGTTTTCGATTGCTCTCTTGCGAATTTGTATCTCCAATGCAAACGGACAGACAATCGTCGAGCCAAATCGAGATTCTCAATTTTTTAAGCGTCTTCAAGATATTACAAGAACAAATAATAAGCTCAGAAAGAGTTCAGATATCTTGCTTAATTTTTGGATCATGAAGTATCTGTCGGCGCTGTTACCGGGGAAAATTTTAAAGGCTTTTCTTTTAAGTCACAGCACGATGGTGTTTAGCAATATGTGCGGGCCAGAAAAAGTTCATATTCTAAATAATTCCTTGAGCAATATTGTCTTCTGGATACCAAACAAGTATCGTATCGTCACTATCGTTTTTTTTTAAATAATTAACAAATAAAATTGTGCATTGTAACGACGATATGTATATCACGATTTATTTTCAGAAGTACTACCGCTCTCGGCTTTTCTCTGTTAAGTTACGGAGGCAACTTACATTTGTCTTTAATAGCTGATAAATCAATTGTAAATGATGAGAGATCTCTTGATGAGCTTTTAGAAAATACTGTACATGAAATAAACGTTGCTTATAATCATATTATATTGACACGCTTTTTGAAACCATCAGATCTTCCGATAGAAACACCCGTGGAAAATGGTATGCAAATTGAATTTTCAATTATTCCTACATTTAATTCCTGTATTTTATTTACACGTATATAACAATAAGATATTCAACAATAATCATATAATTGCACTTAGGATTACAAAAGGAATTTCATATATTTCCAGGTATCGGCGTGTTTTAAGAAAGGAAGGAATACAAGCGACTGAGATATTGTATCTTTTTTAGTGAGGTGCTCTTAATATATTTGCACTAAGAATATATAAATTGTTTTATTTATTATATTTATTAAATAATATAAGTTTTTTTTACAGAATTATTTACAGAGATTAATGCTTTAATCTTTTTCATGAATTTCTTTAAAACTGTATTTTATAAATAAAGTTTTTTAAATTAGGTATAACATTCTGTGGTATATGGATGTATCATGCCTGTAGTTAAAGAATCCGAAATTATATTTCTATTAACTTAGCATTATACATAATTTTTTTATATTTATTTAATTTTATAATGTTTAATCTTATGTTTGATGTGTATGACATACATATTGTAATTCAGCAGTGTAACGTATTAACGTGATCCAGCAGTGTCACATGTATTAACGTAATCCACTGATATCCGTATTGTACCATTCTTGCATATCAGGTGTGCCAGCATGTATCAATAATCTCAACAGTGAGATTATGTGGCTTATCGTTGTTAAAATTTTCAACAATACGTATTAAAATTTATTATTTATCGAATTGGTATGTAACGATACAATACATACATACACGCAATAAGTCCGCCTTTAACTGTCTCTTGTTCAAATTAAATGAGTTAACACACTCGATATTATTTTTCCAAATGCATTCAGCGTAAATAATACGTTTATCTAAATATAGATCCGAATTCAGAGTACAAAGATGAATGGCAGTCGCAATTGCTTATTACTGGTTGTGAAACGTTCCCGCCTCTAACAACTGACGTTCTCCATCAATGGCGGCGATGCTAGGTGGATGAAATATGGGAAAAAACTGCAGCGAAATTAATGCACATACTGTGGAATGATGCAATAGCGTTTATCTTACGCGTTAGCCACAAAAAACTGTTTTAAATATTGAGAAATAATGTGACAATTGGTTAACAATGATCTTTTTTTTTTTATAATAAATAAAAATATTTTTAATATATGATTTATTTAAGCAAAAGTTATAGTTACTTTCACAATGACCTTTTATTACTATACAGTTATAATAAGTTCTGTGCGTGTTTACAGAGTTTGTGCATAACTATACAATGTATTTACAGTAAAAGTCTTTAAATTACATTTAACTCTTTGGTATGATAATCAAGTATTCTTGCGAACTGAGTATGAGGTGCACGATTTAAACACAGCTTATTAACGGATTTCAAGATTTTCTGTTTATCAGTCAGCGTCGTTCTATCAATTCGAATTTATAAATGAATATAAATGAACGTCAACAGCTTCGGCATCATTAACAGTCTTGTTTTCGTTGCACCAACATCTCGGAAGATGTGATTGCCATCCATTCATTGGTCGTCGATTGGTACCACGTCAAGCCCAAGGAATATCTACCATTGAGATTAGCGTGTTGGCAATGACTGAACCACCATCCACCTCGATAGTTGGCCGCGCAGTCGGTGGTGCTGATGTCCATGTCACGATCTTTGGCGCTGAACGCCATGCCGTCCTGATAGGATAGTGCGTCGGTCGCGTTGCCCGAATAACCGGATACGTGCAACCGATAACCAGTCTCTTCGGAATCTATTGTGAAACGCTCGTAGTCAGCGCGCCAATGCACGCCGTAGGTGTCTGTCAGATCAATTCGCAGCCTACTGCAGTTGTCACGGGTGAGCCGATGCATCGCCTCGTTGCCGATCCAGAACTCGCTAACTGGTGAACCGAAACCAACCGAGTATTCATTCCAGGTGCGATCGAAGTCGACCGCGCCGTCAATTCTGCGGGCCACGACGATCCAACCAGCGCGGCAGGAAGCCAACAGGGGTGCTCCGGGACCAGGTGCCAGCAAAGTCAAGCCGTCGCGCTCCTCACAATTTCCCGGAAGGGAATCTACTATGAGACGGTACTGATCCTCTACTTGTTCTAGCTCGTGCGTGACGTTCACTGCCTTAGCCAAATTTCGAGAAAGGTCCAGTCGACTGAGGGTCTCATTCAAGGCGTCCAGACTCTTCCGCTGCACATCGCTCTTCTCCTGCAGCTGCGACGCGCTCACGCTCAACGCCTGAACCGCTCGTCGAAGATTGCCAAGCTCTTCCCTAGTCAGCGACAACTCGGCCGCCTTTCGTGCCGCATTTATTTCCAGCCTTGCCAGTTCTCGCTTCACTTCGGAACGATTGGTATAAACGGCCTCTTCGAGCAGACGAACTGAGTCGTACAGTCTTACCACTGACTCATCCAACTCGTTCATCGATACCAGATCTCGACTAGCATTGGATACTCTCTTCGAAAGCTCCACCTGCGCCAGCTCGAGACTTCTTACTCGTTCTTCAAGATGCTCACGGTCTTCGTACACCACTCGCTTCTCCACTATTGCACGCTTTCGCGCTACCACGGAAATCTTCCGCTCCACGTTACGTAGTCGTTCTTCGAGACGAGCGCGATGAGCCAGAGCACGGGAATAGCTGTGTCTTCGAGCTGACGTAATTTCGTGCGATCCGCTCACTTCGTTGCGAAAGACATCGGCTTTGTTGTGATATTCCGGCTTCTGCGGATCCTGCCGTTGACCAGAAAGCGAGGGCTCGCATTTTAGGGACTTTAGCTCGATCTGCACTGTGCTTAACTGCAATAAATAAAAAAGTTTATTTTGCATTGTGTACAACAACGTAATGCTGACTACTCTCTAATTCTAATATATCTCTCTATTACTGAGATCTTTAAAGACAAGATAGGGTAATAAACAAGCAAGTTTAAAAACCGATTAGTGAAACTATTAATGATTTGTAAATCTTATGATCTCTTCGTCCCACAAAATAAATTTCTACCGATTCTCTTTAATCCATCTACTTTTTACAGACGGTCCTTGATTGCGTGGTATGCGTGACTGCACGTGTGTAATACACACGCGCTTGTGGAATGCGTGAGAGTAGGGCCACAGCTGTCGACTCGTGTGGCTGCGGTCGCCAGCGTGTGTCAAATACCACAGACGGTAAGGACCATTGATCGAAATTTCTATTTGAGATAAAAAACGAATTCATAAATGCGTGCAAATGCATAGATCATTTTCTCTTGTGTAAAGAAAAATTTAATATTATTAATTTTGTATCATCTCATATATATTATTTGAAAATATGATATATATATAATTTAAATAATTATATATATATATATAGTTAATAATAAATATATAACTAAATTATTATATATATAACTTCATATATATGTTATTTACATTTTTAAAATAATTGAATTAAGTATAGCAAATACAATGTTCCATTATCTATTATTCCTTTTTGTCTGCAAACTATTTAAAACATCCAATACTTTGTGCAAAATAATTCGAATAAGAAATTGTATGAGATAAATTTTAATTTATAAACTCGCATCTCTATTCGAACCAACAACCCCTATTTACCTCTCATTCTTTACAAATCTTATCCTTAAATTTTATTATATTTGATTTCTTATGACGATTGAGAGTTGAAGATAGACGCGCAAAGGGCGGCAAGTATTTAAGAGGAGAGAGGAGGGTAGGCCGGTGGACCCGAGGGGCATATGCGTGCGGCTTAAAGGAAAGGCCCGTTGTGCGGGCGAGGCGGGAGGAAGGGAAAGAGGAGGAGGAGGTTGAGAAGCAGCTGCCAAGCGGCAAAACGAGAAACAGGAATGAAGCAGCTGGCCGCCCCGTGCAAGGCGCAGGTGCACCGACCATACATCCCTCTTTCTTCTTCCTGCCGTAAATACTAAATGGTAGCGGCAGCCGTTATCTACATGGACGCCCGTTGTCCGCGCGCGAGCAGCCGCATGCCGAGCCCTTCGGCGTGTATACGCATACCGCGAAATCGATCTTGAATCATTGTGAGCGAAAAAAAAATCGGTCGTGGTCATTGAGCGGCACGCGCACATCTAGGAATTTCGCCAGACCTCAATATCGTCAGGGACGGTATTGAAGAACATACGTAATATACAAGTTTTTATACGTAGAACTAGGACACATCATTCATTTCTAGACTTTATATATAGACGTGCGAAAGAGGAGAGAACTCTAATTCTAGCAACATTTAATTTTATCTTAAACATTTGGCGACTTTATTTTAACTGAATATACAGTTAAAATAAAATACTCGAAAAACTAACAAATTTATACTTCGATGTAAATTTTATTTCATGGAAAACAACTGAGAAATGAAATGATTAAGTTGTTGCTCCAAAATAAAGTATATTCTTTGTAACGAGTAAATCTCCCTCTCTTCTCATTCCACATCTGGTTTGGTTCAACGGCATTGCAAATTGATACCACCTGCCTATCATCTTCTGTTTTATTTTCTCTGGTATCAGCCTTATTTTCTAACATCTGCGAGAAGAGAACAATTTACCTGACTACTGACATCCGCGCAAGAGCGGGACAGGAGGCTGGCGCGTTCCTTGGTCGCAGCGATGTCGAGCCTGATGGTACCAAGGGTGGCCTCGAGCTTGGTGATCCTTCCACCAAGATCGCGTATACTCCTGCCTACCTCGGCGACGTCACCCTTCAGCAGGGTCAGTTCGCTCCTCATCCTCGAGCGCTCGGCAAGCTCCTCGCTGGCGTTCCGGGTCCTGAGCACCTCCGCGACCTCGCTCTGCAGTTCCGTCACGGCACTGCCCAGCCATCGCACCCTCAATCGCTCATTCTTCGCCTCGTTGCCACTTCCGCCGCGAAGAGCATTCACTTCCTTCCTACACGTGCGAGGGGATACGATTATAATACGTTTTTGTGGTGTCCATTTATTTTAAAATGATCGTATTTTTTTTATGCGTATCGTAAAAGTAACAGAGGAACAGCTAAGACCGTCGCACTTTTAAAACAAAGGTGAAACTGAGAGTAAATCTATATCTTCATCCCTTATTATCACGATAACTTTATACGTATATTTAAATCATATTATTATTATATCAAAACATTATTGTTTATCTAAATTCAGATAGATCTTACTATTAAATTTTCATTATTTTTTTATACAAAAATATGAAAACTTGTGTTGCGGGCTTTGTAAAAAAATTGATTCGATAGAAACCTTAGACTTCAATTAACTTCTAAGGATTCTCGCACAGGCATAATTATGCACTTGATGAGTTCTAGTACATGTGTATTGTATTACAATACACCGCATGCAAAAAGAGACGAAGAAAATTGCGTCTTACCTCAGTTGCTTCACTTCGTTCCTAAGGACGATGAGTTCGGTGTTCTTCTCCATCGCCTGTTTCAGACTCTCCTCCAAAGCATTGTAATCTTCCTGTCGATGATCCAACAATGCGCTCACTTGCTCTTGCAGTAGTTTGATCGTACTATTGAGATCCTCATCCGCGCGCGTGCCGGCGATCAACGTATTCGCAGCTATAATCGCTGATACCAGCAACAACAGATTCGCCATCTCCACGATCTCTTGAATATCTTCAGTCAAGATCTTCGGATTTCTATGCTTCTCAATTCATATATATTCCCCCTCGGGGAAATATATTTTTTATTTTATAAATCCTCGCGATGTGTATTATTTTATCATTAACACATACACAGATCTTCGGATGTTTATCCTCGATATTTAACAGATCCTTTTTATTTTCGGATTTAATCTCTTCTAAATTCTCGCATCTTCAAATTCTTGAAAATTCTCGCCGGGATCTCAATTTTAAATTTTCTCAGTAAGAATTCTTTACGAACACCTTACTATTTGGCACAACTGGTGAACGGATTTACCGTGATTCAATGTGATTTTAACACGATTTATCTGATTTATCTCGATAGCGAGATCGTTCAGTCGCGAAGTCACGTGCAGTGCGAGGATTGGCGCGATGTGTTTGATCGCCTCTCGAAAGCCTACTGGCGCGACCGAAACGGTGTACGAGTTTTATATCGGCCCTTGGACAAAGGTCCACTCGGACCCGGTGTGGAGCAGGTGTTCAGTAACACCAGGCCTTCGTCAGGTATATATTGTCTCGCGCGCCGCCATCCGTATCCCCACATGCCTGTTATGCGGTCCCTACCCACTCATATTCCAAGATGAGCATAAGATCGTAATAGATACGTCGTATATGAGATCGTGATATGATAAATGCGCAAGTACAGGGTGCTGGATAATAAGCGTGTGGCGAACGGGGCGAGATTTTCGGCTGAAAGTTTTCTTCTCCCGATAAAATTTAATTTGAGTTAAAAAACATAGATATCTTTTTATAAAACTTTTTGAATTTTACTTTCATTTAGTATTTTAGTAAATATCTCTAATCAAGATTTTGTAAAATTGAAGTCTATCTAAAAAGATTGGATGAATTTCTGATTTGCTTGCGGTTTGCAGGACCGTTTTTTCAAATTTTTTGTACAAATCACAGGAATGTATTATATGGACGTGTTATGTTTTAAGAGGATATGGATTTCTGTTGTATCGCCTAATCGGAAAAAAAAAAAATGAGAAAGGCAAACGGCCAATTCGGCATATCAGGTAAAATTAATAATTTATTGAAAACAATTGTCCAACCTGTTGGAATCTACCGTCTATGTTTACGGATATGGTAACGCGTTAGTGGATATTCAATTGGGGTGATGGAAGTACGGCTACGTGTTTATGTGTTTGGATTCGTTTGTATGACAAAATGTTGGATATAATACGGAAATTCCCACGCGCGCACAGATGCGTGTGAAAATAACGTTCTCCCGTTAAATACAACGTCATTCGTTCCCGAATAATATTCATACGATCTCACGATATTTGTTCGAAGTCGATGCTAACGATGCTAATATTACCGAATATTCCATGAGTAATAATATGGCAGAAAATGGCACCGAGCTAATTATTCCTGTAAAGGCGAATAATCAATTCAACGAATACGACAGATTCAAATAGAATTAGATATAACAGAGAGCTTTTGCAATTCCGTGTTTTGAATATGATAAACGCTAAAAATCACGTACAATGCTGCAACGGATATGATTGATAACTTGTGATCTATTTGCAAGCTTTGTGAAATATACCCAGTAAGCAAACTATCCGCGGAATGTTAGCAGATTGGTAACAAATTCCATTAAAAAAATTTAATAGATTTAGTACTCTTTATGTTCGCATTAAGTGTTCTACTACCGGAGGAACCTATCAACACAACATGATAGTAGAATGGCAGAAATTGAGCAAAGTCTATTGAACGCAGATTTTCGATTTCTGCTATCAAATTTGCTCCTACTATCAATCTGCTGTCAAAGTTATGTAAATATTAAATAGAGTTCGTGAAATATTTTCATATATTCGACTTATTTTTATCACTGTCGTGACTTTTATCTTTGACAGATTAAATAGCGTGACGTCTTGTAGATATTAATTCTCCTAAAAGATCCGCACAAATAACAATTCATTTAACAATATAAGAGACGCCAAGAAATTTACATTGAACACAGATTCTGCTCGATTTCTGCTATCATTCTGCGTTAAACTATAAATAAATCTGCTTGGTTCTTGCCACCAATCTGCTGTCAAATAATATAAACAAATTTTGTTATATTCTTTGTGACATTCTATCAGCAGCATATATAGATTTTGCATTAACTTTGTAACCTTCCAGTAGACCTATTCTGTAACTTTTAATAATAGTTCGTTATACTATCGTTGCGCAGCTTTTTTACCATGTAAAATACTTGCGCAACAACATCCCTAGTTAGTAAAATTGTTAAAAAGTTACAAAATAGGTCTACTGCTGATAAAATTTATCAGTAGATATTTTTTGTTAGTAGCAAAATCTATTCAAGCAAACTTGATTGTCTGGATATTTATACCAAACACGCGAACTTAGCGTTTATAACATTCAAGGCGTTTATGATATTGCAAAAACTCGCCAACAATTGCGGGTTGGAGTAAAGGGTGAATTGGATCGAAATTAAAAAACTGCCCCATAGAAACAGCATACAGATAAGAGAAAACAATAAAAACTGAAAGAACTTTCAAAAGATACAAGAGTGGAAGCGGCAAGAAAATTTTCATTCTAATCCGATTCACCCTGCATTTCCGGCCAACCCCATTACAATACACATTACGTAAATAATTTACCGCTTATATTTTGTAAAACCAAACTCACGTTAATTCACGTCGGTTCTACATTGCAAATCTAGGCAATAATGCACTTAAATTATGCCTTAGGGATGGAAGGGGGCATAGCTACAGCTCTTATGTTCAAAAACAAAATATATAAATTTCTATACACAACAATTAGTTGAATCTCAGAATGCGTAAACAAAAAAGTAATCTTAACAAAAAAAATAAAAATAAAAAGCGAACGCAGAAGCTCTTTCTTTTTGTTATCATATTGCTACGTCCCTGGTTGGGGCATTTCGTATGCCTAACACGTGCCAGTCGCGTGTCCCCAATAAATTCTCTAAAGAATTACGTCACTTAAACGCATCTTCAGAATCTGCTACTCTGTAACAAGTACTATATACTTAGCACATACTACGGAAGTTAATCCGATTACACAGCCAGAAAGTCAAACTTAATTTTGTGCAATGTGCGTACATAACGCTAATTGGATTCCTCCTTAAGTCTGGGCAGATCCGTACGTGCCGGTCGGCGGTCGGTAGAGTCTGGGCAGCGTCAGAATCTGTAAGCTATTGAACGCGTACTTGCGCACACCAATATTTTTCCACGTGTTCTCTCGACGACAGCCCTCACTAAAACAGAAAGAAGCAATGCATTCAGCAGAGATAATTCAAAATTTACGAGATAATCTCAATTCCCAATAATATATAAAAAAATATTTAAAATTATTTCGTATATTACGCGAGTAGAAAAATAATTTTTTAAAATTGAATTACATATAATGATTAATTCGACCCCATTCAAATATCTTTTTCTCTTCCTTTTTTACTTACCTTCGCATACAATCGAGAGCCCTCATGTATTCGTGTTCAGCCAGATGATACTCCGATGACAATATATTGACTTGTTCAAGAGTGATGGACATACTAGTCCGATCTTTCGCGCTTTTGCAGCTAGTGAATCTTAAACCGCGCATCCTTCGACATATTTGCGAGGACAATTGCAAGATTTCTACATTCTTATTGACTCTTTCTTGCACACACGTCTTTAAATTCACCATCATATCCGACAATGTGTGGCCCAGAATTGACCTAGCAGCAACTGAAATAAAAAAATATATCAATTTTAGAATCTATTAACAAAAAATATGTAAACAATACAAAAATCTAAAAGGCGTTTAAAAAAAATATCTTATAAAAGTTTTAAATATTTTTAAACAATATTTCTTAGATTATTATCTTTACAATAAGCTTAGTTAGTTCTAAACTTACAACGCGTAGATGTAGGTTCCGTTGGTAAATTCAGCTTCTTAAATCTTAAATAATATTCGTTCAATCTATCAAAGTTGTCCATATTGCTTTTCTCCTGTGGTTTTGTGGTGCCAAGGCTCTCGGCTAAGGAAGCCATTTCGTTGATACCGACGTTGAAGAACACGGGAGTTACATTGAACGACAACGTTTGTCTTGAGGAGGGCACTAATGGCAAGAGAGAGTAAATCGCGTCTGGAACCGGGAGTATTACCGTTAGCGCACTTCGCGAGCCTACCACGCGCGGCACAGGAAGCTGGAATGCGTTAGACTTTCCTTCAACTCTGTAAGAATAACATTTGCGTTTATAGATAAAAATTTCTTTTTAACTCTTAAACACTTCACTATGGGAACAACACACTGGTGTATGGCATATCCAACCCAATTCGATTGCTTATAATTTACATAAAATTAACACGCAGTTATTAAATTTCGATTTAAAAACTCCGATTTCGACGATTGTTAAGTCTGGCACTTCCAAGTGCATCTCAAGACATCTAATCAAGGAACAATATTAGAAATGATGAGTACGCTTTCACAGCATACTGGATAAAGAAGACATCCCACAGTAACACCGGCAAGGACGACATTGCAGAAGAGAATTTCGTAATATTTCCGGAGTGGAAACTATCCTAGATAGAAACGGGAACCGACGAGAGCATTCAGCAAAATAAAAAAAAAAGACATTTATCAAAACTTTTGTATAGACTTACAGAAAAGTTTCTACATTAACAAGTCGATTTTACTGTGATGCATTTTATATTTAACCATCTAATCGAAATAAAGGAAAACGTTTGCTTGATTAAGCAATAGAAAAGCATAGGAAAAAAGCCGGGTATGCCATACTGAAAAGGCGTTTAAGGGTCAATTAATAAATGTGATAAAGCTTTTGCTTACCTCGGTTGAATGCCACATCTGGACAGAGTGAACGTGACAGTATGCGTGTCTTCGACCGCTACAGCCATGTCGCCCCACATGTCTATCTCGTCTCCGTAATAGCTAAGAAGGCCTTCAAAGGAGACCAATGGTCCCAGAGTTGTAAGTATTAGCAGAAACATCGGGTCGGGCCGTTGACACCATAATTTCGCCATTATGCCGGTTACTAAGGCAGTTAGCTGAAATTTTACGGGGTTATTCTCAAATGTTCTTATATATTTTTCCAAATTGAATAATATAATGATAAGCTCACCGCTTGACTGAAGCAAACATCTCGTCTATACCGGACGTTGCATGCGCGTTGCGCCGTTTTTGAATCCTCCTGTACGCGAAATACGGAATGTGTCAGTCTGGCAGTTTTCAGCAGACCGTCCATAGCTTGCCGCAGCTTCTTCATGCTCGGCCTGAGCTCGCTCGTCCAATCGACAATTGACGCGAAGTCTAGGCCCTCAGTAAACTTGTTCCTCTGTCCCGAATTACTTTTGATCACACGCGTCATCGAATCAACTGCTTGGCACACTTCATTGGAAGATGAGTTACGATAAGTATCGGTTATCCCTAATAATGTATTATGTTGCATGTCTTTACTACGTTTTACTACGTTTTACTACGTTTTTACATAAAGAACATTACATACGATAAGAAGACTTCCTTACCTTCCTTTGCCTTGGAGAGCGCTGATTTCTCCAATCCTGGGCCGGACTGCTGCACCTCGTTTGACTCCTCGAGCAATTTGTTCGACTCCTCGCACTTGATACCGTTCTTTGGCTGAATGGTAACGACTTCAACATTATGCCGATTGCTCGGCAAGCAGCCCTTCAAACTTTGCGACCTGCCCAGGCTACCTTTGTTACGCAATCGTACGGCTGGGCTGCTGCATCTGCCACAGAGAAACTTCAC